GTGTTCTGAAATGTAGCAATTAGAGCTCTCATGCTTTTGATATAAAATCAGGGGCCATGCCAACAAGATAGTTGGGCTTTTAGTGTAACAATACACACTTTCGGACTGAAACTTCATGTATACTTCTATATGAAACCTGTCTCTGTGCTTCTGCCTCTAAGTCGCCTCTCAGCTTATGAGGACTTCATGAATTCTTCCATAGCATTTTCCTAGGTGGGAGATATTCAGAGTTGGTTTTGCCCATTTCTTCCTTGAAAATATAGACTATAGTACCTAGTATTTATTTTTGTAGTCTCCCATTCAAGTACTAAACAGGGCTGGTCCTGTTTAGCTTCCAACATCAGACAGGTTGTGGTTCCTAGAGTATTTAGGCCCTATATGATATGTAAGGTACTACTAATTTCCTGGCATGTGTGTGTGTTATGTTGAATCATGTAAAAATCACTTGGTGAGTGTGCTAACTGAAAAATATAAAGCACAAAGCTGATTGGTTGGGCCATGCTCAAGAGGCTAGCTGAGCCTGATAGTTTTGGCAACAGTTACATGTTTATATTTCTGCTTCTGGGCTGCTGGATTCACATGGACACCTAAGGACCATTTGAATCTCTCTCAAAGGACATTGTGCGAGTCAATGCAACTGTTCACATGACTGTATATATGTTGCTCTGCATAACAAAGAGTAAACACCTTGTTCTTTACTTATCTGTGTGATATCTTTTCTCTAACAAGACAAGTGTGCATTGGTAAATATGTAAACTACACATTATTTTCATTCCACCACATGTTAGACTGTGAGCAGAAGATATGTAGGCATGACTTGTGAAAATTCACCGCACATCCAAACTGTTAAAGTCCTACTTAATTAAACATAGAAATACATGTATAGTTCCTCCTTCCTTTGAGAAATTTGCCAAGGGAATTTGATGTTAAGCCTATGGACTTGCTAGTCACTTCCATGGTTGCACCTATTGCCCTGGGCAACATGGCCAGTTGTGGCAGATGGTATTTTGTGATACCTCTTTGACTGCTATCTTAAAAAGCGGCGACTTTGTAAAAAGTGGAGCACATGTGAAAGAACATTAAAAACATTACTTGTTTTAGTTGCCTGAGTAATCACCCAGATGTGTAAGTGGTCTAGTCCATTGCATCTTATCTGTGAATCCCGATCCCAAATGAGGTCCCCTTAGCTCAGTGTTGGGGTCATGAAAATTGCAGAATGCCACCCATTTACAATATGTTAGCAACAATGTGCTGTGTTTACAGTAGACTCTGCTGAAAATGGTTTAATTGTACTTCAAAAAAGAAAAGAAAATCAGTCTGTTTAGCAAGGCTTGCAGATGCTGATTTATTTTAATTAGATGTTTGGTTTTTATACCCATTTTATATATCTAAATATCTGGGTTCATGTAGAAATGTCTTAGGCAATAAGGGCTGCAAATGGAAAAAGCTAAAGAAACCCTGGTATAGTCTCCTGGTGTCTAAAGCACTTCGCAACATTCTGGGTCAGAATAAGGGGAATATGCCCAGAGTCGGGGTTACAGACTTGTTTGCCTGTGAGTTTGGACAGCTCCGTACACAAATCAGAGCGTCTGCTTCCCATGGCAAAATAAGTTACCAATTTTTTTAAGCGATGCAGATACGATATTTAATTTTTGTTGAAGTATGAAAATATTTTGGCTAAATATACCTATCTCTCTCTCTTTTCTCGCATGCACATTCACAGAGAGAGAAAGAGAAAGAGAGAGAGAGAGAGAGAATGAGAGAGAGATACTACACATTAGGAGACTATAGGAAGCTGGCATATATTGGAAAGGACAATTGGCCATCCATCTTAGTATGGTTTCCACAGATTGGGAGTGGCTCTCCAAGCTTTCAGAGGGGAGACTTTCCAAGCTTATCTAGAAATGCTAGGTTTAAACATGGAATCTTTTGCAAACAACTGTGTTGTTCTGGAGAGGTATTCCTTGTACTAAAGCCAGCTCTGTGCTAATACATAGCACAGAGCATAGTGAAAATGCCTACAAGGTTTGGGCTTTTCCCCCTTCTTTGCTGCTAGTGCATCACCCAGAACGTAGTATTTTCTGTTCCTCTTTGTTGAAATGTGGTTTTGTTGATAGGCATTTGATTTCTCAGTTGTCTGAATTTCTTTGTGTGTTTGTGTGTCCCTCAAATTGCCTGTCAACTCTTGGAGACAACATTAATTTCAAAGTGCTTTCTGAGGCAAGGATTGCCCAGAGGTGGTTTTCCCATTTCCTTCCTCTGAAATAGTGCCTAGCATTTGTTGGTGGTCTTCCATCCAAGTGCCAACTAGGTCTGACCCTACTTAACTAATACATTCAGGTGGAATCTGGCACCTTTAAGATTAGCAATATATTATTTTACATGCTTTTATTATCTTTTTCTATCATTACTTGTGTTTTTTTAAACTGATTATTGTGGTTAGTTGTCTGAAACTGCTCAGAAAAGGAAAGACCGAATATAAATTTCTTTTTGCTGCTGTTGCTTGCCTTCAAGCCGTTTCTGACTTTTGGTGACTCTGAGGTGCATTGCATTTTAGCAAGATTTGTTCAGAGGGTGGTTGCATTTGTCCTTCTGAGGCTGAGAGTCTGTAACTTGCCTAAGGTCACCAAGTAGCTTCCCATGGCTGAGTGTTTTGTTGTCAAATAAGGACGTTCTGGTGTCCAGGGTGGTATCTGGCATCAAAGACCACACTGACGACAAATTCAGGTAGATTTAAAGATAAAATGACGGGGAATTAAAGATTCAGTGTAGTGTTCACAGATTTGGAAATAAACAACATTGAAACTTCAATTATTGTTTCTCATTACCAATCTTAATTGTTTTCATTTGAATGATTCTGAGAGAGGAGCTGTGGTGGTGCAATGGGTTAAACCCTTGTGCCAGCTGAACTGCTGACCTGAAGGTTGGCAGTTTGAATCTGCAAGATAGGGTGAGCTCCCATTTGCCAACCCCAGCTTCCCATGCGGGGATGTGAGAGAAGCCTCCCACAGGATGGCAACACATCTGGGAATCCCCTGAGCACCATCCTTGCAGATGGCCATTTCTCTCACACCAGAAGTGTCTTCCAGTATATTCTCAAATTGCTTCTGACACGATTAAAAAAACAATCTGAGAAAGCAAATACAACAACAACAACAACAACAACAACAACAGGATATTGTTAAAAGACATACAACAAGATACACAGAGTTAAAATAAAAGTTAACATAACATGTTAACAAAATGCAGATCAAAATTCACAACTTAAAATTGATTAGGTTGGCCTGCTGGAAGAGATGGGTCTTCAGTTGTGTCTTAAATTGTGACAGCTGATCCACCTGTCAAATCTCTTCTGGCAGGTCATTCCACAGTTGTGAGGCCGCCAATCAAATGGTCCTCTGGGTGGTGGTCACCAGGTGGGTTCTGACAGGTTGGAGTAGCCAACCCCCAGGCATCCTAAGTATTCAGAACAGATTGTATGGGACAATGTGATTCTGTAGGTAACCTGGATCAAAACTATGTAGGGCTTTAAAGGGTATAAACAACACTTTTTACTTTGCCCGGACACTAATTGGCAGCCAGCGGAGTGACTTTAGAATAAGTATAATAAGCTCACTCCTGGATGGTCCTGTAACCAATCTGGTAGCCATATTTTGAAGCAAGTGGAGGTTTTGAACTTGGAACAGAGATAGCCCAATGTAAAGCACATTGCAGAAGTCCAACTTTGAGATTACCAGTGTGTACATCTTTAGGCCCTCCAAATCTAGGAAGGGGCACAGCTGGTATATGGTTTAAGATGGTAGTAAGTACTCCTAATTATCGCATCTAACTGAGCTGACATTTGGAGAAACGGATCAAGGAGGACTCCCAAGCTGCCAGAAGTCCTTCCAGAAGAATACCATGGTTGGTGATATCAAAAACTACTGAGAGAAGCACCAACTGAGAAACATTCCCCATTTCAGTGTTAAGACAGAGATCATCCACAAAGGTGACTATAGCAGCCTCAACTATGTATCCTGCTCTGAGGCTGGTTTGAAATGGGTCAAGGAAGTGTGTGTCATCCAAGACTTTCCCACATCAAGTGATGTATAAATTATCATCAAAATAGTATTGAAACACAACACATGAATTAAAGAGATCTTCTGGTGCTTCAGGATACAAATAAAGGAGAAACTGTAATGGAAAAGGTTTTTTAAGAGTCAGACATAAGGCCATATGATTATACTCTTACTTCCAAAGTAAAGCAATCCATAAAGACTTAAGGCAAGACTTGATTTTCATATATATGAGACAGAACTCTATGTTAATGTCATTTCTGCAACAATAACACCTTCATGGAAAGGTCAAGTCAATGTCTTCCCCAAATGTAATTGCTGGAAATATGTAATAAGCAAATGAAGTTTGTATTAGAGTCCAGATTCAAGTCTGAGGATGCAGATAAATCTCTCTATAGCAAACATGTAAGTGGATGCTTACTTGTTGACCTGTAATAAGGCCTGGTCCTTCAATTGCAGCAGAGGAACACAGCAGAATGGACTGTAACCATTGGGTATGCACTTTCTTTTCGAGCTTCTGCATATAAAACTAGTCTCTGCATGTGCTTGTAAAATGAAAAGCTGTAGCACTTCTGTCCCAGCCCATGTAGGCTTTGCATGTGGTTTCTACTTGCAGGATTTTTAAAAAAGAAATGTATGTTCTGAAATGATATAGCCCATTTTGCTATCCTCACCTATATTGGCAGCCTGAGCTTGAATCTCATCTTCCAATCAACGAAGGGTTTTGTTTTTGTTTTGTCAACTGAATGAGACTGGATTACGTCGTCGTCGTTGTCCCATTTCTGGCGTAAGGATGTGTGGCAAAATGACAACCGTTTGCATACATGGGCAGGCAGACTAATTAATTTAATTTGGTTTGTTTTTCTAATTAGATGTTCTTCCATGGCTTCACTGTTTACTTTTTCAATCGGTGGAGGGGGAAGGGGGGATATTCTTGACAGTGAAGGGATCTGGTGCTTGAGTGCACAAACCAAGTCAGTTTCATGATATGGATGAGCAATTGTGAGGCTACAGGTGGAAGGAACTGAGAAGCGGATAATTGATGGATACCTGCTTGGGTTGGAGGCTGTACTTTTAGAGGAGGAGGACAGCAAATAAGGGAGGAGGAGGCACAATGTTTCTGTCTATTACTGGAAAAGCTGTGAAGGGGGAGCTAGCTCACAAGTGAGCATCTTGGAGCCACCGGAGGAAAGAAGACGGACAGTCTCTGAACAGCACAGTGTCTCCGCTCATCGTTTCACACATTCGCTATGCTGTGGAGTTAGAAATGTAGTACCATTTGCCTGCTGCATTATGATTGTTATCCTTCTGACAACATGTGGGTAGCATTTAGAAAAAAGTATACCCTTTATGTTGCGTGTAGGGATTTGGTGATTTTAGCTTTGCAATCCTCTGGTATGTTTTGCCACTCCTTCCTCTCAATTTCTGAGGCTGTTTAGGATTCCTTCTTGTTTTGGTTTCCAAAATGCGGCTGATGTTTTTCTTTATCTCCTTTTTCTCTCTCCCCGCTCCTTTCTCCCCTTACCCTGCTCCGATCCATAGGTGCGGAAGATGGCATAGCAACGGATCCCACCTTCCGCCACCAAACTGGAGCCCCCCTGCGCACCGCAGCCGGACCGATGTGACGCTCTTTGTTTGGGGCTGAAGAAGCCAGTCCACCGCTTGCCCCAGGAAAGCCATTCTCTCCTAATTCATGAGCCAGCAGGATGTGGTCGCCGTGCTTTCAGAACGCCTTCTCATAGCCGCGTACAAAGGGCAAGTGGATAATGTTGTGCAGCTGATCAACAAGGGTGCCAAGGTAGCCGTTACCAAGGTAACCGGAGGAAAAACTCCTCGCAAATTCCCCAAGAACTAACCTCATTCCCCAACTGATGGATTTCCTTCTGGCTCTGGAGATGTAATTGCTCCTAGAAGTGGCAGTTATTGTTCTTTCCTTCCTCAGGGGAGTAACGTTTAGATCTGTAATAATTTTCTTCCCGTTTTCTTGCTGTTTTTCTTCACCCCAGGGGGGAAGACGCAAATAGCTTCCGCCAGTAAGAGTGCAGGCTTGGAAGAGTGAGGCTGTTAGGCATTTTATTTTAACACTGCACGCTGCTTTTTGCAAAATGTGGCAAAATGGATTGCTGTAAACAATCGGAGACTGAGAATATTATCCCCCCTCCGCCCCCTACAGAGCATCCTGTCTATAATTGAGGAATGTTACTTCATATGGAGATAATATATATTTGGGGATAGGACTATAAATAAAAATCGGATCCCTCTAAAACAGAGCTGCGGCATATATGGTCCTCCAGGGGTGCATCTGCACTGTAGAATGAATGCACTTTGATATCACTTTAACAGCTATGGCTCAATGCTATGGAATCTTTAGCCTTCTCTGCCAAAGAGTGCTCATGCCTCACTAAATTACAACTCACATGAGTTAAAGTAGTGCCAAACTGCATTACTCCTACAGTGTAGATGCACCCATGTAATGTTGAACCCTTTCTCATTGCTGTTAGTGTTATCTAGCATGATGAGAGTTGCAGTACAATCGTTTTGGATGGCCACACATTCCTCTAATGGCTGGTAAAATAGTCTGATATGTACTGTTTGATTGTAATGATCTGATATGTACAGTTTGGTTCTGCTGGTTCTTCAGAGTCAATATTTTAACATTTGCGTGGGGCAAGGGACAAACAGGCATGCAAAGAATCAGTTTGGTGAAATTTTGCTCAAGCCTTGATAGAAAGAACATTGTTTTATAACTTCCTTCAATGTTTTTAAAACCAAACACACCATCCTGAGGGTGGGGGGGACTTTGTATTTTATGTTGCCCTGGAGCCAAAGAGCTGGGAATGGTGTGCCGCTGCTTTGCTTCCATTCTGCCAGAAGACAGCAATTTAAACACAACATTACACACGCTGCTGTTGCTGTTGCTATTCCTCCAACATGAGAGGAATGAAAATAGGTGGCAGTCGCTAGTCTTTAGCAGCAGTCCTTTCTGTCGCAATCTAGACACCATTGAGGTCAAGAAATGCTAGGAATGCTGGAAGAGAGAAGCCAAGTTGCAGAAACAATGTGCTCAGAACAAATTATCCCTAAGTTCCTTATGTGTTAAGTTGTAAAGCAGTGACTACCTCATAGACACTTTGTCCTTTTTTAAAAATGTCTTTTTAAAAAAAGAGATCTGGTGGTACTCTTTAAATTGCTCATTTAACTTTACTTCTAGAAAGAAGTGGTTTCTGCCAGGTTGTGGATAGTGCATTATTCCTGCTTTCCCTTTTCCTCCTTGATTCCTTCCAGTCAACCTGAGCTCCACTTCATTCAGCATTTCCTTAAGTGTGTGGGAGCTGTAGCATCCAGGGGAGAGCACATTACAAAGTTTGTCCCTCATCTCCCTGGAATCCTCATGGCACCACAACCTTGGCTGGTTGGGTGAATTCTGGAAACTAGGGGGAAAGGGGACAATTCCAAGCTGTGATTTGTAGTAAAGCTCGGTTTGCTTCTATAGGACCTCATCACACTAGAGCGAAGGCACTGCCAACCTATTCACATCAGGGCTCAGTTGAAATGTCCCCCCCCCCCCCCCGTGTACTATACATTGTATTGAGGAGTTGTTGTGGCTTTCCTTTTTAGGATCCAGAGGACTCATGGGTTTCACTATGGTACCCTATGTTGCTGGGGGTTTTTTTTTACCAAGACCAGTGGACCAGAGGGAGGAAAAATCCTTAAAAGACATTGGGATATCTGTATACATTTTATAGAACTACTTTTGAATGACAATACCCTATGCACTGGGCCCAATTTATAATGCACTTGCCAAAAGGACTGGTAAACAATGCTTTATAGTACCCAGTGCTTCTGAAATTGGATGGTTATTGCTTCTTTATTGATTCTTCTCATAAGCTGGGTCTTTCCACAGCTTGTTGATATCTACAATGACAGTAAACTGGTATCCCGCATAATGGTTTTTGAAGAAAGCACCCTTAGTGTCCCCATTACCTATACCAGTTGTTCCCAACCTTTTCTTGACCAGGGACCACTTGACTAGGGACCACTTTGACCAGGGACCACTCTCCAATATTAGTACCAAAAGGGTTACGAATTGATTTTTGTTCAGCTTTAAATTTGGTTTGGTTATTTGGGGTGCTGATTCAGAAAATTGCATTGGATAGACCACATCAGCTATAGTTTCTGATACAGAATATATGCCATCCAGTAGTCGCCATCTGCTCGCCCGCAGAAAACCGTATTTAATAATCTAGAGCTGATGTGGTAGTAGTAATCTTTTGTGGATATTCAGCCTCTCCCCTCTCAACATTCCCTTTACATTGACAGTATAAGAGGGTTTCGCAAGACCAGTCGCTCTTGTTGCCACCTGGTTTTGAGGCAACAGTCTAGTAATGGTGAGACCGAGGACCATATTTTCATTCTTGAGGAACACTGGTGGTCCAGAGACCACAGTTTGAGAACCACTAACCTACATAGTTGGCCTTTCATATTAAGAGCCCCCTGTGGATACCAAAATCCATGGATGCGGAAGTACCATTATATACGATGGCGTAACAAAATAGTCTCCCTTATATAAAATGGGAAAAATATAATTTTGCTTTTGGGACTTTTTGGGTTGGAAGTATATTTTCAAACTATGAATGGTTGAATTCATGGATACAGTATCTGTGGATAGAGAGGGCTGACTACACTATTGTGCTGTTATTGTACACCAGGACTGTGGCGCAGCTGGCTGGGAGTCAGCTGCATTAAGATCACTACTGACCGAAAGGTCATGAGTTCGAAGCCAGCCAGGGTCGGAGTGAGCTTCAGACCAATTTGTGTAGCTTGTTGTTGACCTTTGCAGCCCAAAAGACAGTTGCATCCATCAAGTAGGAAATTTAGGTACCACTTATGTGGGGAGGCTAATTTAACTAATTTATGAGACCATAAAAATCTCCAGCAAGCATGCGGTGAATGAGGAAGTACTTCATCGGTGTTGTGGATGGACGGTGAAGTGACAGCTCCCCTGGTAGCCAGAAAAAGTTGGAATGTTAAATAGCCTCTGACTGTCTATATATGTTGTGTGTCTATGGCATTGAATGTTTGCCATGTATATGTACATTGTAATCCAGCCTGAGTCCCCTGCGGGGTGAGAAGGGCAGAATATAAATACTCTAAATAAATAAATAAATAAATAAATTTTACTTTCCTTTGGGCCTTCTGCCATCAAAGTGTTGCGACAGTGCTAAAGCCAGAGTTTTTCCGTTAAAACAATTTTTATTTGTACTTGCATATCAGTAATCTGTTTGGAAAAGGGGGGTCTAAAGCTAAAAGAGATTATGGTAATAATAATACATTACAAAGCAGCCATTCAGTAGAGGTGAGAGTTAATCATATAAGATTTTATCTGTCTCAATGACAGTTGTTTTATAAAATATTTTTGTTAAAATTGAAACATGACTTTTAAAGGAGAAAAAGCGCGATTGCACTCTGTGATGGGAAAGGGGGAAGGAAATCACTTCACAACAATAGCTTGTTTATTTACTTTGTTAGCCAGGTGGCCTTCAGCTGATGTTGTGATACCCAGAGTGTAGGCCATAATTCACATGGCAAATATAAAATTACAATAACAACCTGGAATAAAAGCTAACACAGTAGGTCTTTGTTGTTCAATTTTTGTATTTTCTTTTGTTCTAGTTTAATATTCACCAAGGTGGATCTTGGTTCATTGGAGTTTCCCCTTTAAATTACTTTCTGGTTTACAAAACCTCAGAGCTTCCCTGGGGAAACCTGTGGATATTTCTTGCACATGTTTTCTGACCTTAAAGAACATTGCCATTTATGAGCGACCAATGTCTTCTGATGCACTGGTGCTTAAAAAGGATGAATACTTGCCTACAGTAATATGGTTGTGAGTAGCGAATTTGTGTTGAGGAAACTTGGGATGTTATCACTTGAGGATGCTAAAGTGCAATTAAGGCATGATTAAGAAGTGCCCTTTGATAGGACTTCCTGCATGATGTCTTGGCTCTCCCATAGTCGCATTGCGCTGAAGTGTGATTGGATTTTCTTCTTTCGGTGGTGGGGAAAACCTGTCAGTGACTCCAATATCAATGATGGGCAATGCTTTCCACTCTTCTTTGTGCAATTTTTTTGTTCTGCTGCAATCTTGGTATTGTAAAATGGAAGAAGATCTCGTGAGAATGCCAAAACTGCACGACTATGCAGTTGCTACAAAATAGGAGGAAAAAATACAGTGCTGGGCGGAACAAACAAGGATAGGAAGCAAGGCTGTGTAGAAGACTGATTGTGGTAATTTGGATCACCAGAGTGCCAGCATTGTACAAGTACAGATGTGAAAGAGATTGTTCCAAAAATGGTATGTTTCTGATTGGAATGAGACAACAAGGTGTGATAAAGTCTTAAGTTACAGGACGTATAAGATCTCGTTGCTTTCCAGTGGGGATGCCTTTCTGGATTGGATAGTTTCCACATTCCTTCTCAAAGATAGGGTCAAATCCTTCTTTGGGGAGGAGTTGCTCATTTCTAATCCTGCCATCCTCAAGACTGCTGGGATTGTCAGCAGACCTAGTCACTGAGATCTTTGGCTCTCCTGGCAATTTTACTTCCTTCTCCCTCTTATCCAACGTATAGATAGGAATGGCATTAAGCACAGTAGTTAGAGAGGAGGACAGATGAAGGCAGCAGCAACAGCAGGAAAATGGAGAAGAGCAGCTGCGGTAGAAAGTGGGTTGCAGAATGCAAGCAATGGAGTGAAAAAGGGATAGTTTCCATTAGTGGCAAAGGTTTGATGACATTTAGAAGCTATAAAGATCC